CCCCCCCCCCCCCCCCCCCCCCCCCCCCCCCCCCCCCCCCCCCCCCCCCCCCCCCCCCCCCCCCCCCCCCCCCCAATCACCTCGCGAGCTCTCCAAGGATGAGTGATGTGGTACAGATACACACATGCGATTGCCACTAGGATGGAGGACTGGGGTTCCTCTCGGTAGTCTTTCATCGATGAAATTAATAATAATTAATGAATCAACGCGGATTCTTTTCCAGCGAGCAAGGACGATGACGCCATCGACGTGCGGAGTTCTGCTTCCACCCACCTGACCTGTTTTCCCTGATGATTTTCTTCCTTCCTCTCTATCTCTCCGTCCCCTCGATCTACCCAAAATGCCCTCTCATCCAGATGCAGCTGTCTATCCTGAGGCCACGGGCCTGGCCAAAGCTCTGGTCGACCAGCACCAGGCAGAGCAACCGTTGAAGCTGTATGCGGGGTGGTTTTGCCTGTCAGTCTATATAGCTATCCCCTCTACGGAGTTTGCTGCTAACATATCATCTAGATTCGGTATGCTCTACCAACAATCATCCCGTAGTTATCTAGCGGTCCTAGATCCAGTTGCTAAACCATTCTAATCGCAGTGCAACGTGTGTGGCTCGCACTGGAAGAAAAGCAGATCCCATACCAGTACATCGAGGTGAACCCGTATAACAAACCGCAGTCACTACTTTCGTTGAACCCGCGGGGGCTCGTGCCGACGCTGTCTGTGCCGACCTCCTCGGGCAACCGACCACTGTACGAATCCAACGTGGTGCTCGAATACCTCGAGGAAGCGTACCCGGACCGCTCGCCGCGTCTGCTCCCGACGGACCCCTATGAGCGAGCCCGTGCGCGCATCTGGATCGACTTCGTCACCTCGCGTGTCATCTCAGCCTTCCATCGCTTTCTGCAGTACCAGTCTTCCTCGGCGGACGAGGATGCCGTGGCCGGACTGGACAGCCACCGGCAGGAATTCCTGGGTTTGCTGAAGCAGTGGGCAAGGGAGTTGCATCCCGAAGGCCCGTTCTTCCTCGGGGACCAGATTAGTCTTCCGGACCTAGTGCTGGGGCCCTGGGCGATTCGCCTGTGGGTGTTCGACGAGCTCAAGACCGGCGGGTTGGGGGTTCCTGCTGAAGGCCAGGGAGGCGAGGACGAGGCGATTTGGCAGCGGTGGAGGAAATGGGTGAAGGCTGTGGAAGAGCGCAGGAGTTTCCGGGAGACGATGAGTGATGCGCAGCAGTATCGTCCTATCTATAAGCGATATGCAGACAATGTCGCGCAGAGTGAATTGGCCAAGGCGACTCGGAGTGGACGGGGTGTTCCATGATCTTTTGTGGTGCTGTCATATTGTTCGTTGACATGGTGCTGTGGAAAACAATGAGTGAATAGTTACCGGTGCAGATGAACAGTCTGCTAATAGTTAGTTATGAGGGCTGCTTTTCAATTGATCCATGTCTATTCACTTCCATCTATTAGACGGTGTATTTACATACGGTAACGATACCACAATACCGGGAGAGTGCCAAGCCCCACGTGACCGTGTCCCAAAGTGGCCGGGAGAATTGACCGGGGTCGAAAAGAGCGGTCCATGTCCTTCACTTCGCTTGCCTCAGACCAGCAAGATGTCTTCGGACAAAAAGGATGTTGCCAGCCAGTCGGGGTCCGAGGTCGCCCTGCCCGATCCACCCGCAATCCATCCCTCTTTCATCCAGGTCGCCAAGCCGTACATCTTCGAGCAGACCATCCAGAGATGTATCGCGACGATGGGAGTCAACACCCTGCGCGAAGAATCGCTGCGCCTGCAGGGCGTGACCTGGATTGACAATGTCCGCCGTGTGCTCTGCCTGTACGTGCTTTCATCCCTGGGCCCTTGCTTTATGTGCTGTCCCTTGAAAGGGAAAAAAGCGGTTCATATCATTATCGGTGCTTGATAACTAACCAAGACCAGACCCATACGGACCTTCAACACGGCTGTCGTGTATTATCATCGATTCCGGCTCGTTCACCCAGACATCGAGTACAACCACATGGTAGCTATGACCTTTCCATCTCTCTTGCCATCCTGACTTGTCCCGTAACGACAAAGATCCTGACCAATCACGCACAGGATGCCGCAGCTGCCGCGCTGTTCACGGCCTGCAAGATCGAGGATACGCTCAAAAAGTCGCGCGAGATCGTGTGCGCCGCGTACAATCTGAAACTCGCACCGTCGGAGCACGTCTCGTCCGACAACCCGGTCTTTGAGGCCCACGCGCGCGGCATCATCGGACTGGAGAGACTCATGCTCGAGGCGTCGGGCTTTGACTTCCGCACCCGCCACCCGCAAAAGACTCTGATCAAACTGGCCCGCAAGTACGGACTGGGCCAACATTCCGAGGTTTCAAAGGTCGCCTATCGCATTGCCCAGGACCTCTACCGCACGTTCGCGCCGATCAAGCAGACTACTTCCACTATGGCGTTTGCATCTTTAGAACTCGCTGGTCGTCTAATGGACCAGCGCATTGAGGCTGTTGAACAGGGACTGGACTACCAGGCTTGGAAAGCGAGTCGGGAAGAAGTAATGGGTATGTTCCCCCCTTCCTCCCCGTTTATCGAATCTCAAAGTCACTCGGTCGGACTCACGCGCTGACCCTTGTCAGAAACCCTCTTCGACCTTCTCGAACTATACACGCATAACCGAGGCTCCACCTGCGTTGGCCCTCAATTCCCCTCAGACAGGTTCCTCAAGGTCAGGATCCCTCTCAACCAAGAAGCAGAAGCCCAAGGTCTCCCGCGATTCACGCACTGGACCAACGACCGTTCCGCCAAGGCCCTGAACGGTTTTAAGATTACCAGCAGCAGCAACAAACCCCCCGCTGCCACCGAGAACGGCGACTCGCGGATCCACCCACTCATCCCCGTCGCTGCCAACGGAGAACGACCCAAGACCGGCGAGAGAGGCCGCGACGGCGCGGTGCGGTTCATGATCGATCCCGAGTGCGCGGATAACGAGAAATCGCACGTGGCGCAATTCTTCAAGGTCGAGATGGAGGAGTACGAGGTTGAAGAATGAAGGTGGACCCGATTTATTTGCAATCTGCAAGACCTATATCGACTCCGGCCATCTTCGTCCCCTCCCCATCCCACCTCATTCGCCGCTTGCTCTCGTCATGCCTTGTCTCGCGTGACAACCTCGAAGGATTTTCCTTCACCTCGGACTGGATAGTACTCGAAGAGGTCTTTTGCCACTCATTTGTACGCACAGTGCGCCCGAAGCCATCTAACCGCCTCGCATCTCCGTGCCATGTTTCCTCTCGTTCTATATCCATGTCCGGAAATCGACCCTGCAACTACCAGCGTATGCACTGTTCAGATTTTTGAACAGATACGTTACACCTGAGTCCACCTTTTTATCTACGCTCTCCACATTTTTGCTCTCAAGAGCACCATCAGGGAAGTCAAGAAACGAGAAAAGCGCAAGAGCGCAAGAGCGCCTCCTTTCATCAAGTCAAGAGAGGACGAAATAACTATATGATGTGGAAGCTTCTCTGGGATATCAAACATTCACAGATCACCAATGAGCTGAGTGACTTACTATATAGATTTTAACATGGTTAAGTATCTTGAATAGAAAGGAAAGCAGGAGGACGATTTCGGCCGGAGCCCACTCTTGTTTAAACAAAACGCCTCAGATTATTGTGGTAACCATTTTAAGGAATAATGTATCAAGATCTACTAGTACTAAATATTACTTGTGGCTGTTCAGGTTGTCCTAGATACTGGAGTTGGCCCTAGTGGCCCCGATGACCCCAGTCGAAACTGTCTGCTCTGGCTCCCTTGCAACGCCCACGGGGGTCGATGGATACCTTTTTTCGACTGCTAGTACAAAGTATATCCATGCCATCTTGCAGCTATAGTATACCAGCCTATCCATATCAACTCACTCTTTCTTCCCATCATCAACCGTGCGACCCTCATCGAGTTCCAATTCATCCTGAACCCCCTGCCCCTCGCTAACCTGGAAGACCTCCCGGGGCATTCTCGGCCCCAAATACTTCCCTCTTTTCGAAGCCCAGTACAGCACAGCCACGATGCTCGTCAACCCCACCGAAACCACAGAGATATAGTTCATGTTCTCCTTCGTGGCCGGCATCTCAGTAGGAGGAAAGCAGAGAACATCAAGAAACGCGACCCACGCGACGGCGAGAAAATTAAACGCCACGCCGAATCTGCCCAAAGAAAAGGGACGCACGGGGAGGGTGGCATCTCGGCCGCGCCAGAGGACGATGAGCTGAGGGAGGGCGCACGAGGTCTGCAGAAAGATCACGGCAGCTCCGACCATTGCGGAGAATGCATTGGTGGAGCCTAGGAAGATGAGACCGTATAGCTTGATGATGATTTCAAGTTAGTAATGGGATCTAGATAGCTTCACCGAAACGACTGTGCCAGATAAGCAAAGCGCATTTAATGGGACCTGGAAGTGCGAGTTGACCTTCCACCAAACATTACTGAAGGGCATCATGTTATCTCGTGAAACTGCTCAGATGGTTCTCGAGCAGGTTGTTCCTACGATACGTGGTAGTTAGGATTCAGCGGAGAGGGTCCATCAGACAATCGATAAAGTAGAGTGAACTTACTATTTGCCACAGAGCAACCAAAAAAGCAGAAGGCAAATAGGGCGAGAAGGACGGACGAAGCACCTTTAGACCCTGTGCTCTGGTAGTAGATCTCAATGAGAGGGTCGCCCGAGGGCGTGTTCAGCACCGCATTGACGTCCGTGATGGCATTCATACAGGCACAGGCGAACGGCCAGGCAGTAAGCAAGCCGATCAAGATAGGGACGAGAATGACTTTGGGCGCGTTCTTTGCCGGATCTCGCATCTCTTCGCACAGATGAGCCCTATTAGTATAAAAACAGAAAGACGTTTCTCCTTTTGAAACCTTACAGATGAGTCGGTTGAAAGTCGGAAAAAGCTGGGACCCCAAATTATTCAAAGCCACGGCCAGCCATACGATGCCAACGTAGATTAACCACTGGTGCCAATTCTGGCCTTCGTAGTCCGGATACCATAGATGGGCAATTGAGAGAATGAGGGACGCTATAAAATTGCAGGCAGCGGCACTGGCCAACCACCAGCCAAGAACACTCAACCACCCATTCCTGTCAGAATGTAAGCGACACAGAACAATCAACCGGCAGCATGGGAGGGCCACAAACATATAGGAGGCGAATGCCCGGTAATCATTCGAGGACACACAGAAGGACCAGTAGTACTGTGCTCCTGCCACCGGGATGGATCATAGAGTGCCAGCCGACGAGGCCTCTTTGATGGCAATGCCAATTGAGGATCCAGTACCGGACCAGGTACACGTCAGACTGAACGAGAGGGCAACCAGGCTAAAGACAGGAAACTGCCTAGGCATTTCACGGTGGTACCCACGGGCTAGCAATTCAAGATCATCCTGGAATTTCTGCATCGTACCTATGATGGAGGATTAGCAAGAGGGATGACTGGGCCTCCAGCATATATAAAAACATCTCCATGGGCAGATGCTCTTGGGGCACCTGAACTGGGGTACTACTTGCCCCGGACACATTCCTATCTGCCTATCTCCCTATCTCTATACCTCCCTATCTATACAGAAGAATGCTATACTTCCCCCGCATATGCCCAGAGAGGCAACTGTGGAGAAGAACCTAATGCCTTCTTTCCGATTGGATGCCTGGTCTGCGCCGTTAGCGCGCAGTCTCTCATTGGCCGAGGCTGCCCATTTCAAGGTACCGTGCTCCCCCCACCCCGCAGGCCGCGATAAAAACCATTCAAATCTAGATCGTGCGAACCGTTAGTCCACCGCCATTGACGCCAGCCTGCCCTTTGGTCTGCCAGCTCTAGAAGATACCCTCATCCTCAGCTGTTAGCTCCGAGATGCCATCCACAGAGCTCTCGTCCCTTCAGCGGGATCTGCCTCGGCGAATCATCAAGAAGCGAGGGACCACTCGCGAGCGAACAGGGTGTCTGACCTGTCGCAAAAGGTAGGTAGAAAGGGTACCCCGAGCTCATTGCGCCCTTGCGCCAAATAAAACGCTGTGATCTAGGATACCCGGTCTGCAAGGAATGCGTGCGTTTGAACTATATGTGCAAATGGGAGGCCCCGAGACCCCTGGCCGAAGATTACCCCGACATGGACTCTCTCTGCAGAGTGGGCAATCGTCCAGTGGACCTGTTAGATTGTCGAGCGCGCCCGACCCAGTCAATGAACATTCCGATGGCACTTCGCCTATGAGTCGTCGGCATTTCCTCCGATATTACACGCAAATCTTTACCTACCTCATGACTACGAATGTGGAGAACAATTCGTTCCTTTCAGGTGAGACATCCACACATTCAATTCGCCCGCATCCTGCGATGTCTGATCATGGATTAGTCTTACTCCCCATGGCCATGCATAGCCCGCCGGTACTAAACACGTTAATCGCTTGGTCATCCGCGCACCTGTCCTTACGGGACAAATCATTTGAGCACGTGGCCATGCAGAACCGATGTGCAGCTCTCAGAGATCTGCGGAACGCACTCGAATCCAATTTAGCCAATGTGGAGACAAACCTGGCTATGTCGTTGATCCTTTTCTCCCTAGAGAGCATCATGGCAGACAAAATGGTGACGCATGGTACCTACACCTTGTGGGAGCGTCGGGGATGATCTCATGCAATACTGACATCATGTCCATCTGTGAGGACGAGTACCCAAGCCAGGTTCTACAGCCCTTCGAGGATGACTATGCCGCACGGTGGCTGTTGCGCAACTTTGCATACCGTGATGTTGTGATGGCCGTTGCGAGGGACCAGGCACCTCTTCTGAGCTCGCATCATTTCTTAACGCTTGACGATCCTCTCCAACCGGATTCCTATTTTGGTCTCGCCTCGGAGATATTGGATTTCATCCTCGGGCGTCAATGGCGGCGAACCCAGTCCACTCCAATATTCTCTGATTTTCTGGGCCCATGTTGCGAGTGGGACCCTTTCAGGAATCAGGATACTAGTTATCGGCCGATAGGCTTAGGTGATATCAGGATGTTAAGTAATAATCCTCTCTAATCCTGTCCAACTGGATATCTGGACCCTTTCCGCCTCTTCTTTCCTCTTCAATTAATGGATAGTAAATAGTAAATAGTCAGATTGCAGTTGCCCCGCGGCGATCTCCACTCCGGCGTCAATGGCGGCATTGTATACTTCTGCACATCTTTTCCCGTAGTATAAAGCCCATTTCACATCATATTATACAATGGCAAGGAAATCAATCTCCTTCGGGTTATTCCACCAGTTATTCTTATCTCCATCAACATGACCGTCGACGATTTTGTTTCTCGCTCTCACATCCTCCACCGATCCTTCTCCGACAGCCCAGCCAAGATCATAGCCGGGGATGGCATTAACCTGATCCTTGAAGATGGCTCCAGAGTGATCGATGCAAGCTGTGGCGCCTCTGTTTCCTCCCTGGGTCACACCCAGCCGGAGATCACAGAAGCAATCACGTCTCACCTGCACAACGACATCGCATACGTCTACTCGGGTTCTCCGTTTACTCAAACCATCATGAGTGGTTCGCTTAAAGCGATCTTCGTCAACTCTGGCAGCGAAGCCACCGATGCAGCTCTCAAGCTTGCCGTCCAGTATTGGCACGAGAGAGGACAGCCCCAGCGGACGCACTTCATTGCCCGGAAACAAAGCTATCATGGAAATACCATCGGGGCGCTATGCGTGTCGGGCCACGAGTCCCGACGAGCCTTCTATAAGGATTTCATGTCGTCGAACGTCTCGTTCGTGGACCCTTGCTATGCCTATCGCATGAAGGGCGAGCACGAGTCTGATCAGTCGTTTGTGGTTCGTCTGGCTCGTCAATTCGAGGATGAGGTCCTTCGCGTCGGGCCTGGTCGGGTTGCTGGCTTCATTGCTGAGACGGTCAGTGGTACCATGCTTGGCTGTCTGCCAGCTGTCCCTGGGTATTTTAAAGCAATCCGAGAGGTCTGTGATCGCTACGAGATTCTGCTGATTCTAGATGAGGTAAGACTCCCCGATATGTATGGAAAGAACTGGGAGAAGGCTAAGATATTGAGTTCTGGATCATTTGCGGAATGGGTAAAACCGGCACCATGCATGCGTGGGAGCAAGAAGATATTCGCGGTCCTGACATCCAGACCATTGGCAAGGCTCTCAGAGCAGGTTTTGTCCCTTTGTCTGGGGTACTGCTCCACGAGAAGATCTTCGATGCTCCGTCGGCCGGATCAGGAGGGTTAGCACATGGCCACACCTTTCAAGTAGGTACCATCTTATTAATTCAAAGCAAACGCCCTTAGAACCTTGACCGTTTACTCATGCAATCGGAAATCTAGGCTCATCCCCTCGCCTGCGCAGCCGCGGTTGCAGCCCAGAAGATAATCGCCCACGATAACCTCATCGGCCGAGTAAATATCAAGGGACAGAAACTTGCAGCCCTGCTGCGCACAGAGATCGGCCCCCTTCCGTTAATAGTAGACATCCGAGGCCGGGGGTTATTCTGGGCGGTTGAATTCGTTCTGAACAAGGACCTCAAGACGCGGTTCCCCGTTGAAGCGAGCCTTTGCTCGCAGGTGGTGAAGAATAGTCTGAAGATGGGGTTGAATATCCTTGGGAATCTGGGCCATACTGGTCAATATCAGGTGGATCATATCTTGGTCTGTCCGCCCTATACGGTTGGGGATGGGGAGCTGGAGGAGATTGTGGCGATTCTTAAAGCTGCTATCATCGAGACGGGTCAGCCTTTTGTTGAGAGTCATCGGACAGCGAAGACAGCAAACATGCTGTAGTTTACTGGACTCGGGCATTGAAATGTGAACTCCAGCCTATGGTGCATGCTTCACGAGATATCGAGATATGGAAAACTGTATATTCCCCAATATATCACTTGTTTGAAGATTATGGAGTACTGGTAACATTTAATGCGAAATTTTAGTCTCTCCGTGCAGCCTTTGGGTGCTCCGAGAAAAGCCATAACTCAAAGTATAGAAAATAATTTTACCTCTATAGCAAGACCATCTGATTGAAAATATAAGCAGGCCGCGGAATGCGGCCTTCAAAGGCTTGTTGGTTATATATGATTGATTTTACACTATCGGCCTGGACGCAAGGCCCTCCATTCCATCTCAAATCGAAACAAGCTAGCTAGACATAGAAAGCAAAAGCTAGGTAAATGAGAACGACCAGAACCCATCTCACTTTTTGACCTGGATCGAAGCCTTCAAGTCTGGATCAAGGACCCTGGCCCATCAATCCATCCATCCATCGTCCTTCCGTGGCAGTTTTTTATACCAATGACCCAACGAAACGGCGAGATTTATAGAAAGGTGTACCCTGAATGGGCTGGTAGGCGTGGCACACGTCTATCCCAGCAGGACCTTGTACAGGATATTATTGGCAGGAAAAGAAAGAAAAAAAAGGTAAGCAAATAGGAAAGGAGAAAAGGTGTCGTTTAATGGAGTTTTATAGCAAGAAAACTCCTGATTTCTTGTTCGGGGAGAAAAGAGGCAATTAAAAAGAAGTGGTTATTGCAAGTTTTGTTTCCAAGGAGAAAATGTTGAAGTTCATCATCTGAGTAGAATGGAAAAAGGGCGGGTCATTATCAGGGAATTATTTATCGTCGTTTGAGCTCGGTAGTCAAGCAATCCAAGATCTATAAACCATCAGTAGCTGCGCAAAAATATTAAGAGTGCATAGGTATACACACCGTCTCGGAGACTGTTCCTTGGTTGTAAAGGTACTTGCCGAGGCCACGGACCACCTCGAGTTGTTCTTCAACGGTCAATCCATTGATAGCGGTCTCGATAATGTCTCCGACACTGGCCTTGTACACGGCAATGAAGCTGTGGTAGTACATGTACGCGAAGAATCCCATGATGAACTGGCAGTCCATGCGATCGGTGATACCGCCGTGGCCGGGAATCGACTCGCCAAAGTCCTTGATCTTGAACGTCCGCTTGAGTCCGGAGGCGAAGAAGCCGCCGAAAGGCGCAATGAGGGAGGCAAAACTGGCGAAAACCAGGATGTGAAACTGCATGGGCTCAACGTAGAAGGTCTTATCCAGGCCGGTGAATTCGGGGAAGGGGAACGAGTACGGCTGGGGAACGAAGGCCGGGTTGAGAGTGCATTCCAGTCCGGTCAGAACATTCGATCCAAGGTCGTTCACCGGGCAAATGAAGTATTTGTAGCGCATCAGGACATTGGTCATGAAATAGCCGAAGATTATGGTGCAGATCCAGGCACCAAGGAATCCCTCCACCGTCTTCTTGGGCGACAACTGGATAAGCTGGGTCCGACCGAAAGTAATTCCACAGACGTAGGCGAAGATATCATTCGTGATGACGAGGGAGGCCGGCAGGAAGAACCAAATCATACCCTCCAGGACGTTGTTCATGACAAAGTGCGCTTGCACAACGATCAGGTACAACGCCATATGTGTCCAGGCGAATTGAGTGAACTGGAACCGATAGTGTCCCTTTTGCAAAGAACCAACGAAGAAGACGAATCCTAAGAGAAAAAAAAAAAAATCAAGGTCTTAGAAGGGCCACGTTTGCGAGCATAGCTGTGTTGATGGTAGACTCACCCATGACATAGAGCGTGAAGCTGATAAATCGGTGGTGAGTCGCCAGGGGCAGCAACACCTTGTCAACCAGGAGAATATGCTTGAAGTAGTAGATGACACTTTCTCCGTAAAGGAAATACATCGTCGTGGCCAGGAAATACCAGTTGAGCGACTTGGTGAACCGAAGGTTCTTCTCCCGACTGGGGACGTTAGCAATGGCAATCACCTCCTTGAACGAGACGATTTGCACGGCAGATATGAGACCAATGATGTAGATGTGGCCCGAAAACATGGAAATGAAGAAACCGGCAATCATCACGAAGGTCCATATTGTGCGGGTGATGAAGGTCTGCTTCTTTTTCTCATAGTCGGACAGCTGCGGTTTCTCGGACTTCTGCTCAAGCTGTCAGTCAGCCTTTCCCAACAATTTCTCCAAGCCGAACAATCAGGCTGCTCACCTCTTCGGGGATCGTCGCCTGCTTAGACACGCTGCCGTTCTTGGACGGGCTACCAGGCTCGGAGGCAACATCGCTGGCATCCGAGATACTTAGGCGGCGAGTTTCGGATCCGTTGGACGCCCGATGTTGAAACCTAACATTCCGGCGAGATTTGGACATGGTGGTGTCAATAGGCCGAGGGCGTGGGAGAGCGAGAGGACGGCGAGATGTGTTGCAGACGCGGGGAAGGAGGGGAAGGCGTCGAAAAAAATTGTTAGGAAAAAAAACTGGGGTTCGGAATGGGCCCAGCCAGAAGGATACGACCAGGGGGGGAAGAAAGAGGAGAGGAAAAGAGACGAGGAGAGAGGATCGAGTGGGAGTAGTGATCGCCGTTTACTAAAATTTCATGTGAAATGGCGACCGGACACGGTCGGACGGGAAAGGGAGTGGAAAAGGCCGGAACGCGAAAACACGAGGGGGGGAAAGGAGGTCGAGATGAAGCAATTTCCTGTCAATATAACATTGGACGAGTTGGAATGAGATGAAGGAGGGGAGCGAAAGAGCGAGAGGAAGGAGGAGAGAGGAAGAAGAGAGCGAGCGAGACGGCGCGGCGAGAGCTGAATCCCGTGCGGCGCAGGTGACTCGACGTCAGTTTTCTCCGCGCTTTCCTGTCCCCCTCGCTCCACCCCAGCAACCCGAATTTCTTCGTTTCCTTCATGGCGATCGTGCATTTAGGGGCATGGAAGACAACGACGATGACTTCTTTTCCGACGATGGTTTCGACGACCTGCCCCCCGGTACATTGTTTCAATTGGAGCAGAGCGCGTTCCAGGCAACACAGGCTCAGAACCTAGCTCCCTCCCAGCCTGCAATCGAAGTACACAGACCTACTGGGAACTTTCAAACCCGAAACCCTCAAAAAGCGCCCTATGTCCAAACCAGACAGCCTGCACCTGCCCATGCAACGCTGCAACCCCCGGCGCGCTTGCACACTGGATTGACCAACGATTACGGCGATTTGGATGTGGGGGAATTGGATGCAGAGGTATTGGACGATGGAAACGATACGACTATCGCATTCGACCAGTCTGAAGTATTCGAAGCGCAGCCCAATCACCCACAAAATGTCCTGGCGCCGGCGGACGACAGTCACGAGTTCGATGACACCCTGCCCGACCTCATGGAGGTTGAGGCGGGTCAATCACATATCAATGTCCCCCAAGAAAACTTCCATATTGCTGCTGAACAGGTAGGTCCTGGCAATCCTCGGTTGGTAGCTACAGGGCTAACTCGTCTTCTGTGGAGGAACAGTTGGAGCGCGAAAATGAACGATACAATCAAATGATGGAAGAGCTCGCCAGCGCCAAATCGATGGCGGAAACCAAAACGGGAGAGATTTCAATTATACGGGCTAACCAGGCCAAGCTTTCCGAGAATTATGAGCGGCAATTGGCGTCTTTGCGAAAGGCGATCGCGGAGGAGGCGGCCAGACACAAGCAGGAGGTAGAAGCCGCACGCGCGGAAGGGAAGATGTTGGCTACGGAGAACGCATTCCTCAAACAAGACCTGGCCGAGGAGTCTCTACGGATAAACAACATGAAGGCGAAGGGCCGAGCAAATGAGAAAGTGCCGCCCGTGACGCCGAAGAAAACCAAAGTCCTTCCTTTCCGCGACGGGTTCGACGACGAAGAGATTCTCGCCGTGTCGCCGAGCAAGTCGGCGCGATCGAAGCGCATGACACCGGTAGTCCCGGGGAAAAGGAAGAGAAGAGAGAGCCAGGACAGCCCAATCCCGCTGCAATTGAGTCCGCGAGCGGAGCCTATGGCTATTGACCCCGACCCCCGGGACTTCTCTGACGATGCGACAACGGGCGATACGTTTCAGGCGGCGGCCCCGGCGGCTCTGGCGGCCCAGAGTGAGGAGAGACAATCGCAGTCAATGAAGCGGGTCTTAAATCACCGAACGTACCCTAATGAGGAGCCTGACATCGAAGCCATGTCGCGGTTGAAGTTCCCATCAGAGCCGCAGCGGACGCTGGCCACCATTTTGCTGCAGGAAACGGAAGCACTTCGCATGGGGAACAATGTGGTCGAGTATGCGCGAGCGATTACCTCCATGTGGACCCGAACACTGAAAGAGAAGTTCTTTCCACCTGTTCCCATGTTCATGGGTATTTTGCAATATATCTTCGCCGTGGAGGCGCCGTCAATCGGGTCTCAGCTAGTGGAGCATCTGGTTCCTGTGTTGCAAGAAGCCGGGGAGGTCAATGCGATCCCTCGATTCAAACACTCACCCGTGTCGCGACAGAACTTCGGACAAGTACGGCAAACACCTCAATCGGAGCTAGAACCTCTAGTAGACTCGACCGAAGCACTGGCATTGCTGTACCAGATTGCCAGTCGGTCTTTGCACATCGATCGGGAACTCGAGAGATTTTGGCGGTACATGCGCTATGACTTCGTGCTGATGATGCTGAATTGCTCGCAGCTTATTGCCGACATCACTTTGACCTTGAACCTTCTTACCACCAGCGTGCGCGCGCAATCGTTCGGTTCGATCCAGGACACCGAGCAGGATCAGATTGCCAATGAAAACTACATCGTGGACCGCGTGGCAAACCTCCTGAGTGAAAAGCCGCACGTGGACCAAGGACAGCCCCCCTATACGCCGATCGACATCTGCGGGATGCGCCTAGAGGCGCTGTCCCTGCTGACATGCATCGCATTCAACATCTCAGCTCCTCAGAGCACCCACGGCAGCTCGGTGCTGGCGTCTCACCCGACTGCTCTGGCGCGGTTGATTCGAGCAATGCACGACGAGCTGGATGCACTCTACTCCTCACCCCCGGAGGCGGAGCAGCACGCGACCTTGGTGAATGGATTGATGGCGCTGGTCTACGGGGTGATGAAGCGCCATCCTGAGGTCGATTTACAGAATAAGCTGGACCGTGTGGCGGGCGGGAAACAGAAGTTTCTGGTTGTTATGACGCGCCTGGCTTTCAGTGAAGGGATCATGTTAGAGGCGAGGATCGACGACGAGACAGTCGAGATGGCCCATGAGATCTTGGACGACGCAGTCAATCCGCAGGAAGCCGAGGCGTTACAGGAAGTGTTCTCAAGTGCGAAGCGGGAGGAATAATGAGCGATTGGGATTGAGGATAATTAGGACATGATAAATGATGTACGATTTAACAGACGACCTACAGGAAGATGAAATGTAATGAGAGAATGAACACGAACGAGCAGCTCTCTCGAGACGAATCGAGGTTGTCCGTGGAGCTACTGGTTACAGCTACAAAAAGATCTCTTCTCCATACCCCCGCGTATAGCGAGGAAACGATGAAAAGAAAGTAAAGATCCATCAAGTGGAAAGTGCCAAAGAATACGCCTGTCAATGACCCGAAGGCCGTTGAACGGACTGTTCCGCCGCGCTGTGCAATGCAGGGACCAATCCGTGGTGGACCGCCTTCTTGATCGCAGCCACCCAAACAAGGTAAGTATGAAGAAAAGAAAGAAGAAAAGTCTAAAAGTCGGAGGCTGCGGGAGGGTTAAATACTCTGCGGTGGGGCGGTGAAAGAGGCGCTAAGGTAAGCGAGCCTGCACTGGCCAATCATACTCAGCGAGTTCCGAGCAACTGCCTTCTTGGTGCCTGAGGACCCAGGCAGGAACCTTCCAGCGGAAGCTGCCATCACGTGTACTATACCACGTGACCCCTGCGAAGTTTTGGCGGCCGCAGAATGAATTGCACGGCGGACGAACCGGAGCAGGAGAAGAACTTCGTTGCAGCCCCCCTCCCTCTTCCTCCATCCATTCGCCCATCATGAGAAACAGGGCCACTACACCGTTGAAGCCGGTGCAGAAGCCGGTATGATTTTCCTTCTAGTCCACTGAGTTGACAGCTCCTGGTCGACCGCGACTTCGATCCTCCGGATGCTAACATGGCCATGTCCAATTTCCAGAAAGTCCGGCAATCATGGAGCAAATACAACCTGTTTAACCTCAATCGGATGCAAACGCCCAATACCTTCTACCGGTCGTTCTTCCAGCAAAAATGGACCGCCAAATCCCTGGCCCGAGCATACCACGGCGAACAGCTGCCCGAAAAGCACTGGCAGCGCATGTTCAACCCCCGGATCCGCAGCGTCATCCCTATGGACCCCTACAAATTGGCCGCCGATGACGGGTCTGCCATGTCGGCCGGTCGTGGATCGGGTCTCTCGGATCAGAAGGTCTCCAACCCTCGGCCAATTCCGTTCTCGCAGATGACTTTTGCGCCGTTGGAGCGTCGGTTGGACGTGGCCATCCACCGGGCCATGTTTGCCAGCAGTACTCGACAGGCTCGGCAGTTTGTGGTCCACGGTGCCGTTACGGTTAACGGACAGAAGGTACGTTGCAGGATCTAGGCTGAAGAGGGGCGGATGAAACCACGATATCGGACACTGCTAACCAATGCCAATCGCCACTATCCAGATGAGATACCCTAGTTACCTTCTCAACCCTGGCGACCTCTTCCAGGTCGACCCCGAACGTGTCATGTACGCCACCGGTGCGCCCAAGGACAAGCACGAGCGTCGAGAGAGCCGTGTCGCCCGGAAAAAGGCCGGGAAGACGCCGGCAGAGGGAGAGGAAGCTGCTGCCGAGGAATCGACCGAGAAGAAGGAAGCTGACACGGAAGTCGAGAACAAAAAGTCCGAGGAGGAAGACCCCCGCGAAACGCTGAAGGCTCTGCTGGCTCAGGCCAAGGTCATCATGGGCAGTAACAAGGAGGTGATCCCCGCCAAGCGCAAGCAGGAGCTCCGTGGATTCCAGAAGGCCATCAAGCGAGTCCTGTCTCGCTCGGAGTCCAGCACCATTCTAGCGGACAGTTTGGAGGACCAGTTCTCCCAGCTGACCCTACTCTTGAAGGCCAAGAAGGCTGAGGCCAAGGAATCGAAGGACTCCAAGGAATCCAAGGAATCCAAGCAGGAGCAGTCGAGCAACAAGGCTGCGGCTGCCTCCGACGAAGCCACGGCCAGCGAAGCCAAACCCACCGAGGCCCTGACAGAGGCCTTCCGCCAGGCCGCCGAGAACCCTGAAGGCGAGGTGGACACGTCGGAGCTCAGTGAGGAAGAGTTCGACGTGCTCAGGCGGGCACTCGTGCAGATGCGCGACAACCCCATCGACAACAGCAAGCCCTACGCCACTCCCTGGCGCCCTCGCGAGTACATGAGCGCCTTCGCCTACATCCCCCGGTACTTGGAAGTCAACCATAACATCTGCGCCGCCGTCTACCTCCGACACCCCGTGGCCCGGCCTGGCTTCTCGGAGGTGCCTTCGCCGTTCGGCGAGTCTGTGAGCACCTTGGCCTTTACCTGGTACTTGCGACGACGGTAAACGGCGCGGTAACCTAGCCTTGGGTTGCAACGGTTAAATCTTCTTACTTTTCTATTTTGTCTCTATTTCTTATGGACTGGGCAATGTTCCACAGTCTTTGTATTACTGGGTCTCTGTCTCTGGGCTGATTTTTAGTGTTTCTGTTTGATTCTTGCATCTGTTTGGTGCTTAGCAATGTATTTACTATGTACTCCTCTTTTTGTTTTCTATCTCTTTACCCCCCTATCTACCTGACTCCTTCTATCACATACAATTATGGAATGTTTTTCTCTAGAGGGAAGAAAAAAAGAGTTGACGGCGATGGAATGTGACGACGGTGAAGGATGATGTGGAAGGGCGGATCTGTATAATCAAGAAAGCTCTATGGAATGAAATGGAATGTAAATGTACCCGATCTCCACTTTCATCTCTCTTCAATCTTAATTTTCAAGATCTATAAGATTAAATATAGAAAGATTGTACACAACAAAGCGACACTGAAAAAACGAGCCCCGGAAATGGCGATACACCTGGCGGGTGAAAAATACCCAGTCAGCGACCGCCTTGACCCGCGCGCAACCCGAAAATTGCAAATCAACGCGGGATTTTTCATTCCTCGCATTGCGATCCTCCATCCAGCATCATCCACACATCATCGCGACGGGCACTCCGACCCCCAAGACGATATATATCACGCACCGAGTCCTCCCTTTTCCGTGACGCTCTATCAACACCCCCGATCTTTCCCACACCGTCCCTTCGTCGCTTGACTCGCCCTCGGTCCATCGACGACGTCGTCGTCGTAGCCGTCTATCCACGGATCAACGACAACACCAAGATTAGATCCATGTATTCCTGGCCCAGTCATTCCAGCCATGCCGCCAGCGCCTCAGCACCCGGGCCCGCAGGAAACGCAGGGACGACAGGCTCGCCCGGCCCAACAACAGGAGTCGGATTAGGAGGCGGCGCAGGAGCATCCGCAGCAGGAGGACCAGCCGCAGGAACAACAGGCCCAGGTCCGGGTGCAGGCCCAGGAGGGCCAGGAGGAAACCCACGTATCGAGTCCCCAGGGTCGGCGTCCTCGTCGTCATTCCAAATGCCTCACCTCCGATGGCTGCCGTCTATGATATCACGCTCGTCTGCGGCGACGGCGCCGCATACGGGTCATGGACAAGGTAGTCATGCGGCACATGCGGGACATACGACGTTACCAACCTTGTCGTCGAATTTGCGAATGGGCACGCCGAACGCTACACCGCAGCAGCATCTGCCGCAGCAGAGTCCCGTTCATCATCCGCAGGCGCAGATTCATCCGCATGCCCATGTCCATGCGAATACACATGCGCACTCACACCCGCATTCCCATTCGCATCATCATTCCCACTCGCACTCACACTCCCAGTCGCAACCGCAGCCGCATTCGCAGGGCCGTCATACGGGGGTTTCGGCGGTGGTGGATGCGCGACGGGGTCAGCAGGCGCAACCGCAGCACCATCAGCATCCACAACAACACCAACAGACTGAGTCGATGGAGAGCTCGGACAGCGAGCAGTCAGACGGGGGACATCGGGAGGGGCGCGGAGGTAGCGGGGCCGATGGGTCCGAGGAGGTGGAGTTCATGCCTTCGCCGGGCGAGAACACGCCGTCTCGTCGGGCAGGAGGCCGTGGACGAGCGGACGATGGACACAGGATCAATCGGCATGGGGCCGATGGGATGTCAGCCACGCACCCAGTTCTCATTGACCACTCGATGGGAGACGAGGTCGGGAATGGCGGCGGGGACGACGGCGCAGACGCAGGCGGAGGTAATGACGCGTCGCGCAAGCACGGCAAGCGGCTGACGACGAAGGAAGAGGTCTCGCTGTTTGACATCTGCAACCGGCACGCGGAGGAGTTTGGTCAGCGCAGCAACCTCTGCAACTGGTGGCGGACGGTGACGGCGGAGTTCACGAGCGAGCAAGGACACCCGTACTCGTGGCATTCGGTGCGGCGGAAGGTTGAGCTGGTGACCAAGCAGCGCATGAAGTTCCTGGAGGACCAACGCGAAAAGGGTGGCAGCAAGGCCGACGACATGTCGAATCCGCGATGGCGCGCGTCCGTGGATGCGTGGATCCCGACGTGGCAGCGGTGGGAGGACGCTGAGGCGCGGCGCATCGAGAAGCGGGATTCGCGACGGCCTCGCAAAAGAAAGGATCGCTCGTGGGAGTCGTCAGGGGGGTGGGAGGCGCCGACGAACTCTTCCAACGGGGGCTGGCGAGCGGCGTCGAGTCCCGTCGTGGACCACAGTCGCGCGTTCGGACAGAGCCAGTCCTCGTTTTTGCCGCCGTCGTCCGCGCAGTCGCCGCAGGTACGCTTGCCCCCGGGCTTTGATAACATGTTCACCTCGCCCGTGGTCAGCGGAGCAAGCCCTGCACCGAAGGCGGCGGGCTCGTCCATGGGGAACACGTCCATGCCAGACAATAACATTATGTCGGCGATGTTGGAGACCCTCGGCAAGCTGAATAAACACCTCGACACGGTCAATCCGGACCAGCAGAATGCCTCGCCGCTGGCGTCGTCTCTCGCCGGGTCGAACCAGCGCAATCAAAATCCCCGACGGGAATCCCAGCAGGACTCTGACGGCGAAGAGTCCGAGCCGGCGGCCCTCTCTGTCGCAGCCATCAGCAAGTTCAAGGAGGAACTGCGGCAGGAAATGAGGCAGGAGATCCGGAGTGAATTGGAGAAGGACCGGGCTGCATTCGAGGAAAGGTTGGATTCGGTGCAGAGGACGCAGGACATGATTCTGGAGATGTTGAGACAGGAACCCACTTAGCTTCGTTGTTTGTCTTCTGAAGTGGTTATCCTTATTGTCATTTTTATTTCCCGCCACCCCTATTGCTCAGTTTGTTGATATGATACCCAATGACATTGCCATGCTCAAGTATTGCTTGCCAGAAATTCTGTGACTTACTGATTGCCTAACAGCTGAAGAGTAAAGCGAGTATACAAATAATCTCCAATAGTATCTATTCCTAATGCTATAAGAGAGAAAGGAAGAAAAATGCGAAACTATTAAATTCCCGGCTAAATTACAATAAGTTAACATGCATGGTATTGCTGCATAGGAGCCCGCCAAGCCAACTCTGCTGTTGCCTGTTGTTTTCTAAGTCTGTATAATAACACCCCGTGTTCTCTTTAAAAAAAAAAAAAAACAATTTTCTTGCTCCAGCTTAATCGTACCTGTCAGAGAAACACTCTAGTAGTAGAAGGTCTCGTCGACGGTACGACCACGCATCCACTTGGGCTCACTGCCACGGACGTAGATGTCCTCGTAGAGGATACGAGAGTTGTTCTCGGGAACGGGCATGGCCTCGGCAATGGCGACCTCCTCGTCGACGTGGGCACGGGCGGCCTTGTCCAGGCTCTTGAGGTCCTCCTCGCTCGTGACGCCCCAGTCGAGGATCTTCTGCTTGAGACCGGCGATGGGGTCATTGGTGCTGCGCATGCGCTGGATCTCCTCACGGCTACGGTAGGTGGTACCGGGGTCGGACATGGAGTGACCTCCGTAACGGTAGGTGACGTACTCGAACACCAGGGGACCGTTGCCGGCGACGGCGTAGTCCTTGGCGTACTGGACGGCGGCCTTGGTGGCAAGGACATCCATACCGTTCACCTTGATACCGGGGATGTACTGACCACGCTTGTAGTACTCGGTCAAGGCGGAGGAACGGGCAGCGGAGGTACCCATACCGTACTTGTTGTCTACAAAGATAAACCAGTCAGTCCTATCATCCCTTGCTGCCGTGTCTTGAAAGGAAATCGGAAAGTCGAGTACTTACTCTCACAACCGAACAGGACGGGGAGGTTCCAGAGCTTGGCCATGTTGAAGGCCTCGAAGACCTGACCCTGGTTGGAGGCACCGTCACCGTAGAGGACAATGCTGGTGGTGGGCTCCTCGTTGTACTGCTGGGCGAAAGCCAGACCGGCACCGACGGGGACCTGAGCACCGACGATACCGTTACCGCCGTAGAAGTTGGGGGCGAACATGTGCATGGAACCGCCCTTTCCGTAGGCGATACCCTCACGGCGACCGAGCAGCTCACCGATGATGGAGCGGACCGTAGCGCCACGCATGTAGGCGAAACCGTGGCAACGGTAAGCAGTGATGATCTTATCGTCGCGAGTGATGGCATGCTCGATACCGGTGGCGACGGCCTCCTGACCGGTCGACAAGTGGCAGAAACCTCTGATCTTCTTCTCCTTGTAAAGACGGTCGGCAGCCATCTCCATGCGCCTGAATGATAGAAGAGAGGCCCGTTAGATGACAAGTGATACTAAGCGCCACGGAGTAAGGTTCCGGGTGGGTATACATACCGTGTCGAGACCATATCATAGTACATCTGCTTCAGCTGCTTCTTGGTGACCTCGAGGGTGTACGGGGGAGGGTCGAGTTCGTACGTCTCGAAGCTCTCATCGGAGAGACGGACAGTGAAGGGCTTGTCATCCTCCTAGAGACAGATCGCATTTGAATCAGCATTCACAGGTTCTATTCCGGTGATATAACAGTTTTTTCGGTGTTTCCCGGGAGCTCTCAACAAACCTGCGGAATATTTTCAGCATGCGACGAAGCGGCGTCGGTGGTGACGGAGCGACGGGCAAAGGGGGCAAAAGCCTGACGCCTCAAAGGCGCAGCCTGACGGGTCCACGCAGCTCGGAACAACATGATGGACTGGGGGAAATAGGTCCAATTGACGATGAAGAGGAGCCGGAGGGTAACGAGGAGATTCTGTTATCTTCAACGACGGAGATGTTGGGAACAAACTTTCCCCTGCGACTAAGCCGCTTCGGGCAGGGGGCTTACCTCAGCCGTCCTTCCTCTTCGGGGAGAGCCGGTGTAGACGGTGCAAACAGTCCAAACATCGGGTGTTCCCTAATTATTCCTACGGTGTCAACAGAGTTACCATCATTGACCTCTTACTCTGTACTCCGGAGGTACGGTGTACTCCTTCGTCTATACACTCATTCCTGTGTCCTGCTAGGTCGCAACTCAGGATGCAACTCAGGATATGCTATCGAATATTCCAAACTCGGCATCATCATCAGATACTCTGAACGCCCCATGAGCGAACAGACATCCCCCTTAAACCAACCTCCTACCGGCCAGGGCCTATTGTACATACCTCTGCACAAAAACATGGTCTTTTTGAAGATCTGAAGATCTCATCCACCTGTCTATGGTCTCTGTAGTCTGTATACGCTATATGAAGAACGAAGGTCCCTTTTTATACCACATGAACACGGCATCATGAGCACGTCTGGCCGTGGATCTAGACATTGTCTCGGCCTCGTAACTTTTGCAGAGACTGGCTTCAATAGTTCAGCCCAAAGATACTAACTGCAGCTAGAGACATTGACACTATTAGTATAGTACGAGTCTCCAGAATCGACACCCTAGGCAGACCAAAAGGATTCAAATATCAATAAAGTCTTTTTTAGTACATTTCTAGTGCGGTCTTTCCATAAGGTCCAGTGTTTGAGAATCAAATAGCAGATAGGGCGTTCTAGCTAGAGTGAAAGACACTCTATTACTGCTGCCTGCAAGCCAATGCGCATCACTTTTGTCTTGAAAAGATATTGCGATGACAAGAGCCAACGTGCCGACAATGATGTATTGCCCTCCAAAGACGGTCTCCAGCATAGATTTATAGCATCATTGGGGGGATTTCTCTGACATGAGGACCAGGTTCGAAACAATTCAAAATGTTCCAAATCCTCCGATCACCCCGTACCACGCAATCTGGTTTCCCGATCGTCCGACAGATGAAGCAACTAAGTCGCTGCCAGATCTCCCGATTACGTCGTACTGTGTCACCCGTTGGCAGATAGACCGGGGCGATGTCTCGGGATGTCTCGATTCACCGTTTAACCTCCCCAAAGAAATTCTCAAAAAAGTTTGTATGACGTGTTGTTCCACATGGTACTTCCCGGTCTTCATTTCGCACGCAAGGCCTCATGAGGAGCCGTGGTGGAGGTGTCAAGGAGATACTCCAGAGGCCGGGCATGTTACACGATGTTGGGGGACAGTGTAGGGAACGATTGGCATTCACGCAGGTCAGGTCTCAGGCACCAGGAACTCTGATGGTCGCACAAAATTGTTATCAATAATCTGATCCAGACCATTGAACCGTGAGGGGAATTCAAGGTATATATTGGCCAGGTTTTGAATCCCCCTGCCAACATGTGGCTTTGCTACACCTGCTTTGGATGTCAGCCAACACATGGTCGATTAAAATTCTGTTGCGAACCAACACGAGGTTCAACCTGCAACCACAAGGGCAATGATGCCATCGAAACACCAGATGTTACAGGATCCCAGTTCTTTTAGAGCCATTCGAGCATCCAGGTTTCTCATCCGATATCCAAGTGGGTCGAACCAGGAACAACCAAAGACCGACCCGATTCCAGTGCGACAAGCGACCGAAAATCACGCGAAAATCATTCTAAAACTTTCCCCCAAAGTCCTAAGGGGGCCGGGGAGATCGAAGATCGGATCGACTGTGGATAAGATACCTTCCTGTCCTTTGCTCCCATTCTCAACCCGAGAAAATTCAAGATATCTTTCAACCGTGGCAGCTGAAACTACACTACGTATTTGGCTTCCTGCCCTGTTTCATGTTCAAAAATAAACAATCAAAAATCAATCAAAATCAATAAAGACCAAACCCCTTTCGTTCATCTCTACGGCCCATCCTTTAGGCTCTGTCCGGATAATACAGTTACATCGTCATCCCACGGAGCGACCGCAGTCGACCTCGTGGAAGGATGGAACCCAGGATTTCTTGGCCGAAATGCGAACGTCTTCCCCGTTCAGGGCGCCGCATTCCTGGTTCGCAAACCAATAGTCGCTCGTAGTTCGCGCTGTCTTGTCTCTCGCCCTGCCAGGTGGTTCGCAGTCCAGACCCGAGGACACGGAAAGACAGGCTACCTAGGTAGTAAAGTAACCTTCAAGTGTGGTGTCGCACGGCGCTAACAAACTAAAAACTCCAATAATTCTCATATGTAGTCTAATGTACTAAAGAGAAGACGTCGTCAAGGTAGTACCCCCATCGTTCAGCCGAGGGACAGCCAGGTCAACGTGGCATGCAAGTGGATAAGCTGAGGGCTGGGTGAGGGTCTGAGTTAATATGTTTTAGATTGGCCCCATTCTGCTAAACCACCTCGCATCGAAGGCAGGCGGTATTACGAGTTTTGCAAATTGGGAGTGTCAGAGTATTTCTTCTGGTTTGTATTCCTGTATGTATGTCTGAAGGCCTGTCCGTCAATGGACGTGAATCTCCTGACCACCAGCCACAATGTGTTCAGGCAGTGCCTCTCCAGGTCGGTCAGCCCGACTGCCAATAATTCCTTCACTGCCACAGCAGATTCCTCAATCGTCAATGGGGATCGATGATCAGTTGAACAGGGTCAAAAAGAGTAAGCCTGCAGTACCGGCCCCTTGCAGAAACTTCCTCCCAATCGGCCCCCCTCCAATGGCCATCGCAAAGCCCTCCAACTGATCGACATGACTGCATGGCCCCATCGTCAGCCCAGCAAGATCCTCGTCTGGCCATGATCGTATGGATTGACATCAGCAATCGTCATTCGGGTTCCAAAGAAGGCAGACACAGCCCGTACTCCGTAGATTACCCGCCGTGAATCCAAAATTAGGAATTTTCCAGAACTTCTCCTAGGGCGACGGGGCGCGCTGAGTCGCCTCGTATTGGTGAAAACCTCCGACTAAGATTGGTTGTCTGGTGATAAACTTTGCGACGCGTCTTGCAGAGACGGACGCAA